TTGTTATTTTAAGATGAAGCAGTGGCGTACTATTTTTTTCGGCAAAAATATTTAATACGAAACCCGTACGGGCGCCACTGGTAGAAATAATAAAATTATTTGTACATTAAAAAATGCATCATAATGCGTAGGAGACGTGTACCAAATTTCGTAAAAATATCTGCAATATTCTAAGAGTTATTAAAAAAAAAAAAATTTGAAAACTTTACCACCCTGTAGCTCAAAAGTTAAGAGGTTTAGGACATGTGTTCATATGAACGTTTTGCCTTAAAATAAGTCAAAGATTCACCATTTAAAGTTTGTACAAGTACTTAATAAACACCCTGTATACATCGAAACTATGATAAAATCTCAGTTTATTGTCTTACGAACCTGGAGTATCAAATTTCCTGCAAATCATGCTAATATTAAGATAAAGGTATTTTGGAAACTGTGAACTTTTGGACTAATTTGGTAATTAAGGCTAGATCCTCATAATTTTTATGCTAGCGTTCTGTACAAAACCTTTTAGGGACACCCTGTATTGTGAGTTATATAATCCCTCTTAGGTGTTTTAAAAAGTTAAAATTTGTTTTCAATTAGAATTTTAAAAGAATTTTCTTGATGTTAATCAACAGCTTTGGTGTCAAATTTTTCAATAAAAAAATAGTTAGGTGAGTTCGAAAAAGTTTCAGCCGCCTCCGCGTCGTCCCGTTCCCAGACGTAAGAGAGGCTGCGATATTATGAAAACAAACGAACAAACGCGAAAAGACGTCGCGGCAACCGTAGCGGCCTGTCAGATGTGTGAGGGGGATGGAAAATAGGGTGATTTCTGTGCGACCTTGAAAACCAATCACTGCGTCGAGGCATTTTAATGAATAGGAGCAGATTTTGATCTCGTTTCTCTCTGGGACACTTTCGTTTTTAAAAGCAGCGGAGCCAGAGCCAGCCAGAGCTTTCTTTTATTGATTTCGTTTACTTGTCACATGCGTTTTACGGGTCGCCGGGGCCTTGTTTGTGTGTGTCTCCGTGTTTGTGATTGACTGACGGTTTTTTTGTTTATTACACAAATAATATTTGATCTTTATCGACTTTTTCGTACCTATATGCTCACAAAGGTATAGGGTACATAAAAAGCGTAGGATGACATGATTAATGCTGACGTCTATTTTATCAAACTCTAACCCATTTATTTTGAGCCATCAAAAATGTTAGGTCAATAAAAAATATTTATATAGATGTAATTTTATTACTGTGATTTCAAAGATTGATAATATATTAAAGTTTGAGTAAACTTGGGGCCAAACTTATTATATGAATGTACTTTTCTATAAATTTGAAAAGCACATAAAAAATTCCGCCTCCACAACTTTAGCTGATCATAATCACTTGTTCATTCGAGAAATAAGACATTTTGAGAACATACTCTGCGAAAGGATGCAAGTAGCTTTCAAAATTATAGGACAGTGGTGCAAGGATCATTCACTGTCTAACAATCACAAGAAAAAGACTCGAAAAAGGATGATAATGAGACTAAAACTTTCAAAGATTCTAAATTCTGCAACTGAGGTGAAGTCTCTATGTTCACCTTTGACAGCAAGTGGAACTTACACCTAGAAAACAGTTAAAAAAACATACATTTCTTAAAAAACAATACAACCGAACCGTGGGGCCATCCTCAGAGTCGTCAATATAATTTGACCTATGAAATCATCAGTTATTATGATTAAGTAATTGAGTGAAATTTGTGATATGCCTTGTTACATATTTGCCTTTAGTTGAATCAAAAGATTTCTCCTAAGAATGCAAAATCAGTTGTTAAAAGTTTCGTTAGGTTATTATGTTATTAAACCAGGAGGAGTGAATTATAAAGACGCATTTACACAGGGAAAAGTAACTAGATTAGTTACTAAGAGCGTGTTCTTAAATAGTCGTGATAAAAATAATAATAATAATAATAATAATAATAATTATTTATTACTTGCCAAAGCACATATACAAAATATTACAAAAATAATTATATGTATTTTAAAGATACCAAAGCAAATAAATTAGAAAAAATAATAGTTACTATCTCGAAAAAAAGTTTTGATATGAAATAAAGTAAGTGTTGCTAATTTCACCCCCTATAATGTAACAGGAATATTGATAAAATACCCGTGGTTAGTCTTTTGCGAGTGCACGAAAATTACAGACTTTCAAGTTTCTAGCTTTACTGAAATTTTAGAAAAAAATAGTCACCACCTTTTATCTCGGAAAGGGGTGGGCTGAGGAAATTTTGTTATAGGAAAGACCCATCTTAATTTCATACGAGCAATCACCTCCTGAATTTTGTCGCATGAATTTAGAAACACCCTGTATTTATAAGAATTAATTATTTCAGTTGTTCCAGATAAACACTATATTAAAAAATGTCTAGTTAAGTTCGCATCCGCTGTACCACAATCAACCACATCAAAATTAGTGTATATATGATCTATTAAGATAATATTGCCATTATAAAATAATTTGATTTAATTGAAAGGTATCAGAAATATTTAAAAGATCATTGAGGTGTTGTGAATACATTTTGACATTTACATAGAAACAGAAAGAAAAAACAGAAGGTTTTCAATAGGCATATATTAATCTACATTAGAAGATTCGGATTCAAAAAATTCCAATTCGTTTGAGCTTCCAGTATTGACAGCTATTATTAAGGGCTCTATCATGACATCTATTATTCCATCCAGTGTATTTATTTTTTCTTCTTTCTTAATCACATGTTTTACATATTTATGCCAATTTTTAGGCTTTTTTTTTCACCCTCAATCTTCGAATAGCATTTTTGAACCTCTCATCAAATGTTTTTAGAAGTCTTGGTCTTGGTTAAAAAAAATCACCTTTTTAATCTAAATAAATTAAGATTGAGCTTTACTGATATTTCAGCTATCTAAATATTTATTTTTCATTCATATCAAAATTGAGTAATGCCTCGATAAACTCACAAAATAAAATGGCTTGCGGTATGGTTAGGGAGACGTCAATATTAATCATGTCAAGTATATTTCTTTGTATTTCTACACTTTTGTATGTGGCTCCAAAAGGATCGATAAAGATCAAATCTTATCTCTCAAACAAACAAAAATGCAGTCGATAACAAAAGAGCCTCCGGGTGAGTCCTATTGACCTCGTAAACGCATATATGATAAATTATTCATAATTATTTAGATGATTTTGATTTGTTTTTAATAAAAATATGGGGGTGCTACTAGAAATTTCGGAATCCACAATTTGAAGAGTAGACTTGAATAAGGGGCTATGTGCCAAAAAGAAAAATTTTCAGGGGACTCGGCAAACCGATTAATTTAACCATTTATGAATGAAAATATTTGTAATTTGTCTATTTGCAAACATGAAACATATACATGGAAAGAAATATACAAAACAATCAAAACATTTTCTAATACAAGCAAATGAAAATGGAAAAAATAGAAAAGGGCTAAGTACCACAAGCATTTTCATGGTAGGTAAGTGCCAGCAACTATGATGTAAGTTTTTCGTAGAACTCCCGGCGCTTTGGTAAATGAAGATAAGGAATCATAGCACGTAAGTTTTGCTTTTTAGCTGCATTAAGTTCTGGGGTCGATTCGTGCCTCCTAACTACACGGAAAAAAATGTGACTAGAAAATTTTACTACAATGTTGTAGTAGTAGACTTGTAGAAAAATATTTAACAATTTGTAGAAAATTTTACTTCAATTTATAGTTAAGAACTATTCATTATTGTAGCAATTGAATTGTCGAATAAAATGCTACAACAATAGGAAAGAAGTCCACAATGTTTAGTATATTTTACTATTGTTTGTAGAAGTAGAAATTTATTACAATTATCGTAATTATTACTACTAACTTCTGAAAAAATTTGTACAAATATTAATAATTATCTCTACAAAAAATAGTAATTTTCTCTACAAAAAATAGTAATAATTTACATCGCTTCTTATGAAAAAAATTCAATTTTGTTCAAAAATATTCTATAATATTGTAGAAATTCTAAGTCATGTGAACAAAACAGAATTCTGCTATTGGCCAAGGTTTTCTGACGTCGATCATAAATGGCCAGACAGCAGTAGCCGTTCGCCATGTTCACATAACAAAGCATGGTACATATACGAGTACCTATAACACATTATTATATTATAAGCACCGATGCGTTTGAGAAAATTTTAATAATAAATTCTATTGTTGGTAAGTACATTTATGATTGTTTCTGAATAATTTACCTTTAGATAACTTATTTAAATAACCTGTTGTGCCCAACGATCGAATTTTGTGCCAAGTTCAATTGTGTTTTTTTGTCTTAATTGTGACATACCTACTTTCTCATTTTTGTTAGTAATCTGACTTAATCATTTAATATCCAAATCAGTGTAAAGGTGCTAAATATCCCCGTTTTAAGGGTATGAACAGTTCAATTGTTATTAATTTTTATTTCATATTTTTCAGGTGCAGAAAAGCCAACTGAGACTGAGGGTGCTATTATTAGTGTTATTTATTACATAATGTAATTAAGACTTTGTATCTTTTATATTAAAACAATAAATTGAATATTTTATTAAGGAACATTTTTTTCTAGGTTATAATTATAATAATTATGGAATATTACTACAAGTTTTATTAAAAATTACTACAATTTGTATGAATTTTTACTATTTATTGTGTAAAATTTTCGTATTTATTTTCATAAAACGCAATACATTTTTAATATAAATTCATACAATGAATAGCAAAAATTATAACAATTTGTAGAACAATTCTTATGATGCATTTGGATATTTTTATTAAATATTGTAGATAATAACTCTACAATACATTCTCCACAAATATTTGGAAATTTTTACTACAAATTGTCCCTGTCCCTATATTTACTATTTATTGTAGAGAAAAAATCTATAATTGTAGAAATTTGTTCTACAATTTTTTTTCCGTGTATCTGTACGTTTTTTATTTGGTCCTTAGATATATTTTTCTTGAGAACTCTTAACTTTTGCCAACTTTCGATATCACTGTGAGATTTTTTGTAACTCGTATCTGTGACAGCGTCGATATTGAAAGCTTAGTAGTAGATATTAAGGAATCCGCAGCTTGTTGTAAATTTAAAAAATGTCCGGGTTCCATATTCACAACTTTATATGGCTGTATGGATTTGGTCTCTCTGATGAGCTGTTGTATGTCCTCAGACACGAAGCATTTTTTAAGTCTTCTCCTCCTTTCAATCTGTGCGAAATGACGATCATTTGGTAAGTAGTTGTGACCGCTAACGAAGAATTTCAAAGTAATTTCTGTGAATAGACCGATAGATGTCAAAAACAGGATCAAAAATATTGCCACCCGATTCTTATTTTGCCCTGTGCAGTTGTCACACCATATGTTCAGTTTCTCCTTTTCTGTAACATTGGAATTTAAAACCTTTAGTAAGCAGGACATGATTTCATTAGAACCTCTGGACGCTTCGGTTTCATTCCAAATACACATAAATGCTTCATTTGTATCAGCAATATGCACACTAAAGTTGTAAACAGACAGTTGCCTCATATAATACATATCGGAGTGAGTTAACGTTGGAACGAATAATACTTTTTCTAGATCTATGCAAATCTCACTTCCGGGTTGCTGGGAAGAAGCACTGTCTTCTTTAAGGTTGGTTTGGACTTTTTCTGCCTTACGATGGTGCAACTGTAAGTCTAGCCTCACAGTAGGCGATGCATGTTTGTCCATTTTTACCACACTTGCATGTCTGTCGCAGGTCTTACAAGTATCTGTTCTGGGTCTACGAAAACTCAAATTTGGGAATCATTTCTTAAAAACTCTGCAGTAATATTTATATAGCACTTGATTGTTAGGGTACTTTTTATTGAAAGCTTTTGCAAGACGATATTATATATTAAGGTCCGGGATAAGGTACAATATTGAGCTTTTTTCGCGAGAGTAATGGCTCTCGTCTTTTGGTATTGAATTTATGTGACTTATAATACGGTTGCGATCTTCTTTGGTATAAACTTTTTTATGATTGTCATGAGTTCCGCGTTTATCTATGTAAGCTATATCACCACTTTTCTTCTTTGTTACTAGAACCTCTATTTTTTTTCCAGTGACAATACATTCATGAAGGTTTTCTTATAACCTTTCACAATACTTCCTGATATATCCGGCAAAGAATAATATATCGTACTTTGCCTTCTGTTCTCCCTTGGGTCAGTATATTTACCATTACGTCTTCTTTTAACCTCTCCTAAATGAATGAGACATACAAAATGATCCTTGTGCGTTTAGATCCAAAGAGTAGAAATTATTGAAAAGTTTTTTTCTTTTCTTCACCTTTAATTTTTTTGCAACCATCTAGAATCAAAAATGTTAAATCAGTAAAACACTTTCTAGGCCTAAAATTAAACATAACCCAAGTTCCGGTTGCTTTCTTACTGGAACACTTTTTCCTTTACGAGACACATATTCTTTACCAGACACTTTAAGTTTTTGTTGTACCTTAAAGTTAATTCCAGCTCCATATTTTTGTTTCTTCGTATTACTATCGTTTTCTATATTCATTCTATTTTTCATACCACGTACAAACACACAAGCAAAATACTCTCGAGAGAAGAAACACTGCGAAATGGATGATGCAAGAAAATACGTTGCCTTTATTTACCAAACAAAATAATACTGATGGCATTTGGCCGTTTGGCCCCTTTAATAGGAAAAGACGCTTGCGATTTACACAGGTGCGCCATCTGTGTAGCTGATTACGGGTACAAAATGTTCGTTTGGGACTTGGCCCCTTCTCGGGGATATGAAATATGGTACTTATAATCTTTTTATTGAAAAATAATAAATTTCTTGTTTTGGTACTTAGCCCCTTATTCAAGTCTGCTCTTTAATTCTACACGTACATATTCGTAACATTAACAGAATAATATCTAATAGTAGTGCCTTTATTATAAAACAGTGATTTAAATATAAAATAATGTTTTTATTTTAAATATTTTTTTTTACATGGAAAAAGATACAAAACTAAGAGTAAATCAGTACGTTTATTGAATAAAAAAAAAAACGAAAAAGCGAATGTATCATTATGTCGAATTTTGCACACACCTGCAAAACGCTTTTTTTTCTACAACAGAATTTACCAAAATATGCAGTAATAACACTGTCCATTTCTTGAATGGAGCAACCGTGACGATACTACTTGCTTGCTCAATCATTTTTTTTTTTAATTTTTTTTTTCGGTTTGCTCGTACCTTCAATTTATCATTGCATGTCAAAATATTATTAGTGCGCCTATTTGAGCTAAGACCAAATCTTGTTATTCTTATTCTAAATCTATAATTATAATGTAGAATTTCTTGGAATTTTTGTTCAACAACACGCTACATGTGTATTAAAATTGAAATTAGTGTAGTTTTCGTTTGAAATATCTATTTCGAAATATAACATTAAGGTCTCTGAAGAATTTCGGTCGAAAGAGTGAACTGCTCTGACCTTATCCTCTTTTTCTTAATGATTAAACTCATTTGGCCGAAATAATATTTTTGATTGCGAAAGTTTTAATTTATCGTCTTCTTAATTTAATTAATAGGTAGATAGGTACTTACATATTAATTTATCAAAGCCTAGAATTCAGTATTTATTATTTATTCTATAAGTAATAAAATATTATATAAACTTACGTAAAACGTAAAATTTTATAATAATCATAATGAATTAGGGGGCGTCCATTAATTACGTGTGAAGTATTTTTGAGGATTTCTTGACTACCCCTCCTCCCCCTGGTGTGATTTCGTAAGATTTTCGTAATATTTGTTATTTGAGAAATATTTTTAGATAACATGGCGACAGTATTCAAATGTATTACCTATTTTACTTCTGTAATTTTCGGTTGTTTCTAATTTTTTTCTCTAGATAAATGATCTTTCGAATATCTAAAATATATTTTAGTTTAAAAATAAATAGAATAAAAAAAGGTGTATGTAACAATGTATTTTTTTTAATGACTATCGTTGAAAGCAGGGCTGCCAGAATGAAAATGACAAATCATACTGAAAAACATTTTAAAACGTACTGAATTTCAAAAAAACCTACTAAATAACTAACTTTCAAAAAGGCTATATTTTATGAAAATGTACCATCTATATCGAAAATGGCTGAAGCTTTAAATTCATTAACTATTAAAAAACTTTCATAGTAATATTTTAAAACTTTACAAAAATGTTACCCAATAAGAACAAATGAACTGGGCCACAAGTGAAATAAAAAAGATTTTCTTTTATTAAATTATATATTCTTTATTTATAATAGAAAATGTCCAAATCAATTTTACTTTCAGAATTACAACCAACAAACTTTCAATATATTTTAATTTCAAATAAATTATTTGACTCATCACATAACTTAACTGTCAACTATTAACCATTGTTGATAATAACGTTACTTTATTAAAAAAATGTCAAAATAGTACTGAAAATGGTACTTGAATTGACTATTTTGTTAATAACATACGTCACTTTATTCGAAAAATGTCCAAATAGTATTGAAAATGCTACTGAATTGACTATTTGTAACAAAAATGTACTAAAACTAACAACGTAACACTGACGTACTGAAAAAGTTGAAAAAGTACCGATTCTGGCAGCCCTGGTTGAAAGTATCCAGAAGGTGACGTCACAGCTGACGCAACAGAAATTGAACGAATTCAGCTATCCTCTTTATTTGTTAAATCGTTCGTTAACAATGCATTATAAGATAATGAATTCCATTGTAACAAAGAAGTTTAAAAACTTTTATATAACACAAAGTAATTAAGTTTAAAATATTTCAAAAATTATTTTAGAGATAATGTAATATTATTTAGTCAATATGTAGTACAATTCAATCAAATTGGATATATAAATCGGCGAATATGGCTGGAAATTAAAAGTAAAATAGTATATTACGTAAGAGAAAATGTTCAAATCCAATAATATTTTGTTACAAAAATTAACAATATAAAAGGAAAGACCTTTATTTCCGTAGCATGCTAAATTAGATTAGATTGGGAGTTAGACGTTTGTCCTTATCCACCGCGACCTTTTCAGATTTATTGTGTGACTCCGTTTGTTTTAGAATATGTCGTCTAGCTTGGTCTTTTTTATTAGACTTAGTAGCTTTGACAGTGGTTCCCGCATGTAGTTGTATGGGTTGGGCTTTTCTTCCAATGTTAGAAACCTCATTTCTGCCAGGCCTTCACATTGGCAAAGGACGTGAAATGATATTTCCTCTTCTTCTTCACAGAACCTGTACAAAGTTGCTTCTTCTGCTGGATTGATGACACTCATGTACCTTTTGAGGCAACAGTGTCCAGTAAGAAGGCCTACTGTTATCCTAACGATTTGACGCTTTTAATCCAGTAGGTCTTTCGTAAACTTGCCCGATGGTTCCTTGATGAACTGTTTGGATTGGGTTTTGTCTCTGTATTAGCCTGTGAATAGCTGACTTGGTTTCTCCTTGTATGAAGATGTGCAATGGTGTGAGATTTAATAATACCTCCATTGCTGCAGTCGGCGTAGTGCGTATGGCCCCAGTAGCACTTAGACAGGCAATCCGATGAATGCCAGTGAGTTAGCCTATTGCAATTGCCTGCGCAGTCGCAGTTTTGGTTACCCACGTCACTGCGTCATAGGTTATCATGGGTCTTATTACCCTTGTGTATAACAATATGGTCATTTTGGGCTTTAGACCCCAGTTTTTCTAACATATTTTTCTACAGTTTACGAGAGCTATTGTAGCTTTATATGTGAGTTGTTTGAGATGTTGATTCCACGTTAGCCTTTGGTCAAATATGTTGTTTAGTACTAGTGGTCTTAGTTCTGTAAGTACCCGTTTTTTGTGAATGGTACAACTATTGTTTTTTTGTGCGTTAATGGACAATTGTTCCTTTTTCCACCAGTTGTTCAATATGTTTAGAGCTGTTTGAGATCGCTCCGAGACTGTGCCTGCAAATCGCCCTCTGACGATAATTACTAGGTCGACTGCGTATCCTAGGCACTGGTAGCCTTCTTTGGATAATCTTTTGAGTAGGTCGTCCACAAGAACTGACCACAGTATTGGAGATAATATTTCTCTTCATGGACAGCCCCGTGTAGCATGCTAAGAAACCGCGACTTATTTTTTGAAAAATTGTATAATGAGTTGCCAACATTTAAGGGCATCATTTTTTTAATCCAAAATGTATCTCGTTAATGCTAAAAGTTTTAATGTTTTTCAATTGACTAAATTTATGTAAATACACCAAATAAAGTCCTACATAGATAAAAATTTGATTGCAATTTGATTAAACTGAATTTTCTTATCAAAACGCACGTGTATGATATATGATCTCATTACGTGCATGTTATTGTTAAATGTCATTTACAAGGAATGTTGACAGTGCTATTTTTAACGTTTACTGACATGGGCGTAGAAAAAATAGTTTTCTAGGAAGAAAAATGAAATAAATTTATAATTTGTATGTATGTTATCATCGATAGTGTTATCATTGTCCGATGTTTCATCAAATACGGTCACTTAAAAAATTGACAACATAGCTTTAGAAAATAATAGAGATGTATTTTAAGAAAATTGAGGTTATATCAAAAAAATATATGCGTATACACCGATAATGTGTAGAGGTATTTGGTGATTTAAGAACAAGCTTGAACGCCTTCTTGCCCGAACTAGCACATTAAATTCTGTCTAGAAATCTCGAC